TGTTGTCGGACAAGTCCATCCAATACCAACACATCATAGAGGCATCATTGTGCGTTTTATGAGACACGATGAAAGACAATTAGTACAATCAAATAGGAAACAAACAAACTGGCATATCTATATCAGAAGACATGACACAAGTCAATGTGAAACTACTATCAGCTGTACAAAAACACCCCCTTGTGAAATCAGCGTGGTTTTTTGAAATGGTAAGGTTCGAGCAGAGGGCCATAGTGGCAAAACTTGCCATGTTGAATTATACCCTGATATAGATGATCAACTTATAAAGTATTTATCTGGCTGAAGAAATCTTAAAAAACATGTGCAAAGCCAAATTCTGAATGTTGGTTCAAAGTATGGTCATAATCTGTTAAATATACGAGAATAACCTGAATGTGTGTCTCAAAATTATACTACGCATGCAGATGTCTACCCCCACAGTCAATAAACTTAAAATCAAACTAACTGCTTTGCACACTTCGATGTTAATAATTGGCTACCATATTTTTTGTCATCTACTCGCTTGTTTGAAGTACATGTAAAACCCATGGCAGCTATGATAGATGTGCAGATACTGTTATAATAATGCCTGTCGCTGTGTCCACAAACACTAAACTCTACAGCTGATGTGTTCCACCCTTTTACCTCATTTCCTTGTTATCTTATGATGATTATAGACTAGTTACTGAATACAAAAAAATTATTATATCATTGTATAATATAACATAGCTCAACCTACATATTCTTATGTAATAATGTTAGGAATTGTATAAACTCCAATTGTTTATAAACTGGAAGTATACTAAAATACAATTGTCTTCATGGTCACTATCCCTCTTTCTTTCCTTGATTACAGCAAGTGCATTTAATGAGTAAAATTGTATAGTAGCAGACAGCTTTTTTATTTGAAGGACCTTTAAAATATCTAAAATAAATTTAATCAGTACAATTTCAAAGAGCATATTTCAAGTAAATGTAATCATATATGTACGAACATATATACTTCCAGCTAAATTTGTTAATACTTAAATATTCTGTACATATAAGTATATTGTATATTCATAAACCTTCCACCACTTTTATATGTGCCTTTTACATACCTTACATCATTCCACTTAAATTGATAGAGAGAGCACACTTAAGCTTGAGACAAACCTGTTTTCTAAAGCACATCATGTAAAACCTTGTAAAATTGTTTGATAGCGTAACTATAATCAAAAATCCAGGCTACGGTAAATATGTTAATCAATCAAAGCATTTTATGCTGGCCACTGTAGTATTATTTGAAATGTATAGCCACTGAAGATCCCTAATTATCCCTTCTAACTTTGGATGTGCACAGTACTAGAGCTTGTCTTCCTAAATTGCTGTCAACTTTCAATTTTCGGCTCCATTTCGTATAAAGATATGTGAATTTAGATATAAACGTCATATGTAGCACTTGATAACTTTTAAAAAGGAAAGATTTCGCTGGCACGATTAAAATTCATTGAAAAATGTTAACATGAAATAAATACAAAACGTTAAATTTCAAGTATAAACTCCAATTGTGTGGTGTACACACAAAACCAGTCCCCTGCTCATTTGATAAACGCACTCACTCTGTGACCTCTGTCACAGACATAATTACCGTTATGTTGTCTTGACTCAAAACCAAAAGCAAAATCCCACGCCCGAAAAGGTAGCACAAAAAATTTAATTTCTGTGATATAATATTGGTTACACATTCTTGTAAATAAACCTAGGTATATGAATATTATAACCATTATCACCATCCACAACTATTAGTATTATATATATGCATTACAATATATGTGGACCCATCACGGCATAATGAGTCGCAACGAGGAAATTTTTAAAAATACCTTCAATTTGAATCGGGCAAAATCTGACTGAGCTGTGTCCGTTTGAAGTCACCCAACTCACCAAAGTAAGTTTAGAGAAAATTTCAAAAATCAAGTCAAAGATTTGGTATGTTTCAAAACAAAATCCCATAGCAACCAGGCCATTTATTTGCTGTTTTGTCGTTGAATATTGTTTTCTAAAAGTTTTCAGGGGTGCTGAAGACGAAAATTGTAGTAAAAATTTAATCCAACAATTTCCGCCATCTTTTTTCAAAATGGACGCCAAAATGACAAATTTTCAAGTTTTCACAAGCTTTGTGTTTACTAATGTCATTGTATGTGTTTTTAGGGGTGCTACATCCAAAAATTGTAGTACAAGATTTTATCCATGAAAATGGTGACCAAAATGACAATTTTTTTTTTTTCACCGTATATTTGTAACCGTCATTTTATATGTTTTATTAGGCACTTAATACGAACGTTGTAGTATCAAGGGTCGACCAGACTGTATCCTCCATCTTGTTTTTCAAAATGGCCACCAAAATGGCAATTACTGGAGTTCTTATACTTGATACTCTACCGTGTAATATATCAGCTATCAATAAAATTCTCTTCGGAAAGAAAATTATTGGCTATTTTGTTTATTTTCATTTAAGGCCTATAAATTATTTTCTAACAGATGAAACGAGATATTAAATAATTACCGATTTGATTAATTATTTGGAGTAAATAATAATTTCTAATTATCAATCAACTAATCATTTATCCGTGTGAAGTGTTATTAGTATTACTCAATGACACTTCCCAGGGTGAATCGCATATAGATACCCCATAACATTGCCAAAATCTAATTTCTATCGTCCGATTGAGCCTCGATGCGACCACGGAACCACAATGATTTGCAAGCATTGTCTGGGCCAATCAGCAAACCAGTCGTGTTGGCAGCATAGCAACAAGCTGAGTTTGTTTACATTTTTAGGGGTTTTAAAACCCTTTTGTATTCTTTCAAAATGAATTCAATTTGTAATACTTTGGTCATATATAAAAACTACATGCCAAGCATTTTGCAAGAGGATTGACTGGTCGTCCTGCTGCAAGCCGAGAAAAATATGTAATTTTGCTGAGAATATTCAGAAAAAGACAGATTTAAGAATACGGTACTCTTACAAAACGTCCAAATGAAGGTGTTTTAAAATGTTTTATTGCTATTTTGATCTTTTGGGTCGATAGATAGTATATTTATAGACTCAATTTTCAACCTTAATGGAAAAAGCTAACTTATTACTTGATGATTATGCTATGGACTAAAAAGATATTATCCAGTCACTCTTTAACTGGTAAACTTCAAATGCATTCAAGGATACAAATAAGAAACCCTGTTTGGATTTTGAAAAGGCTACTTCCTTGTGTGGTGAGTTAATATTTGCTTTGTGAAAATAAAATTTTTGCCTATGTCTGATATCGTTTTGCAGTTTGCACGGCTTATAGGTTAAAAATATGATTCGATCATTATTAATACATGTATTGTTATACATGGCTCTTGGATATAAAAATAAATCCCAAGAGCTACTGGTGTTACTTCATGGATACGGTATTCTGTACCCAAGGGAAAATTTGTCGAACCAATTGCTAGCATCAGAATGACTGATGCCTTCAAGGAGAAAGACACTAAGCTTTGAATAGGTGCAGAGAATGTTACTTTCCCTATACTCCTGTACTAAGCTTGAGTATAAACAACTGACTTACCGGCACTGCCGCTTTTTTCTTGGGTTGTTGAGTCAAAATACTAAATACATGTATAGTTATTGTTATTGTCCATCTTTGAAAATGTTTTGTATGATATAATGCTAAAAAATGACTTATTTTTTCATTTTAGAATTAGTGAGTAAAAAGTTTGGAGTTGAAGAAAGGAAGTTTGCGCGTACAATAAAAATAAATTGAACAATGTTGAAAAATGACCCAAAAATAGGAAATTAAAATGTTAAGAAAAATTAATTGATTTGCAGCATCCTGATGTCATCTGATAGCACATTTTAGTCTTCAATAGAGAGTCATATCACTGTACAGAATTTGGATCCTATTGAGATTCCTATTTGGACTTCTTTGAAGATATTCTATAGATATTCTAATATTTGTTAAATAATGACTTGAGATAGGCTTTATATATATCATTGGCAATTATCAATCAACTAATTATTAATCTAAGACAATTGATTATATTTACTCATTGACACGATCCGGATTATCAGCCAGTTGATTAATTTATAGAATGTGCCGCCACATGGTTTTCAAAACCATCAGATTTTGGGACAAACCATGGTCGTCGGTAACCACGGTTTTTATCGTATTTCACAAACCATGGTTTAAACCTAGAATACACAATGGTTTTTGTAACCTTGGTTATTGTGACATACAACTTTCTAAAAGCATGGTTTTCCAAACCCTAGTCCTATCAACCCTGGGTTCCTACTAACCATGGTCTTTTTCACAATATTCTGGTTAAAAACCATGGTACTTGTGCACCAAAACTGTTGTTCTTAGCAATATAATTTTAACAGCAGAAAGTATAACTGCGAAAGCGGCGGTAGGCCAACGCCACCAGGCCTATGTTACTCCCCAGTCCAAGCTACCTCTATACACTAAATTTTAGCCTCGGGACAGCCCTAGTGTATCCACTAACCCTGAACAGACAAACAACAGTAACAAATATTAGTATAGATTTTTTTCATTTGTTTTTCGCATTTTCTGAAGCTCTTTGCTTCATTGGCCAATTTCTGTCTAATACATTCATTTATGGAGCTTGCAACAGCTTCTCTTCCTTTATTGTCTTTATATTTAGATTTTAAAAAAAAAGTTTGAAATAACAAGTTATTCTAGTTCCCTTATGAAAATATTCTATTGGAAATGCTATAAGAAAATCCAACAGGATTCCTATTGGATACATTTGGAAATTGAGTCATTCTGCTAACAGAATTCTAAAGGTATTCCAGTAGGATTTTCTATAGGGCCTGTGTTGTCATGATCAGTCCCAAATCTAATAATATACAGTCCCATGTAAATGAATAAATAAATAATATATTTAAAACAAAAAAAAAAACCATGGCATCAGTTTATGAGAAATTTTGCTGATCCAACTCAAAACTGAGAAACACATACCTCTTCTGGGTCACTTGAATTAATAACATACTCTTCCTCATCACTTGAGATTAAACCAAATGTGTCTCCATTTTCAGTGTTTCATATTTTAATTTCTCTTGCACAGACTTCAGCAAATGATTATTTGTTGTCTTTTTTCTTTTTCTACTGCCAACCTGCAAAGGAATTAGATTAGAATTGATTATTCTGAAAGAAATATTTTATGTTGTTGACAGTTAAATTTAAAATGTGTCAAAGACTATTATAATGGATGGTGCTCTTAACATGGTTCCTACAGTACACCAAATTGGGGATGATATTTCATGACATCATTAACAAATTCTAGTTACCTAAGTATCGGACGCTTATTAAGAGTACAACAACAAAGAAATTTGATCAATAAGACAATTCTTTGCCATAAACCTGAATGGATACACTGACCATTACATCCATTTTGAAAACAACATAAATATTGCGTAGCTGTAGATTTTATTAAATTTATGGACTAATGTGGTAAGTTTTACCTTTATTTCATTGGGAAATTGTTTATTATATTATGTAAAGCTATGTGCTGTACAGTTTGGGGTCAGTCGAATTGAAAATTAATGGAATTATAGGCCAGTAACTTTCATCAAACGTGCTCAAAGGAATTCCTCAGAACTATCCACTATTGTGGAACCATTTCTATGTACTGTAGTCTAGGCCTATTAGCTAGGCCTAATAAATAAAGGGCATATTATTTTTTATATGAGGTGTGGTCTAGACAATAGGCTAATACTAATAGTAATAGACATAGGCCTGAGCACTCATCTAAAAAAAAAAAGGCCTACTTACTTTTTTCTTGTCTCTGTCTCATTCTCACTTGTTTTCCTGTTTATATTACCGTATAAGTATCTTGATAAATAATCTAGAATATTTTTTTCGGTCATCTGAAAAACGAAAATAGAAAAATAGAGAAAAATGAAATGGGGTTTAACAACAGTTTAACAGCCTACGACCGAACTGTTCTGATCTGACTGGGCAAATGAAGTCAGGCATACGAAATGCAGTGATGAGGGAACTTCTGCCAGGACAGCGTCTTATAGTCTATCGAATTCCAACTGCCAGGGGATCTTTTACCTGCACTCCAATGTTTACACGGGACCTCGGCTATCCGGCCCAGGCCCTTTGTCCTGCATCACATTCACTGACATTACAAGGGTGAACCATGCTGGAAATCCTGAATTAGCTGATGAACTTTCTCGTCTCGGCTAGTTCTAGGCCTCGGCGTACACAGAGATCGAAATGAGAACAGTTCTAGTTCTAGGCCTACTTCAATTTTAAAGCCTACTAACTTATTATTCTATTAATACATTTAGGCAACCGCTATCTAGATTTAGTTAGGGACTATTAAGAAAAAAATGACTTGCCACTAAATTTTATAATTTTCGCAAGGTAGTCTACAGAACTGTGTCTTTTTCAGTATGTTTTGTGTCTCTAGGCTAGACTGTCCCGCCTTTGCTGTTTACAGCCACCGGCCATTTTGAAATATTGAAATTTCCTTCGAGAAATATCCCACGTCTCATTATCAAATGTTTCTTCTAATTCAGCATTTTTAGATAAAATCCGATTTCACACTCATTTTCTTACTGTTTCTCCGTGAATTGAAAAAAGCGCCCAATTTCGTCTGATCTCCACTTCAAAAGGGTTCATGTGACGATAGTAATTTCGTATCATTATTCATAACCCTAACGCCATTTTGATACACGCCCATCTCCACAGAGGCATCTAGGTGACATTCTCTCTTTAACAACTAACTATAGAATAAACACAAACTCTAAATTCATAGAAGAACTACAACCGAAACCAGTTTTTAATTTTCATTTGGTATTATTGCTAAGTGAAATGGGCAACGGCATAGAAATAAGGCACGATCTTAACTTAATTTACAAACTAACCCCCTGACACGTGACTTATGCCGGATTGATGATTCGATTTCCATGATGGCGTCCGACGTTAATTCATTTTCTTTTGAATTTCAGGTTAAAATATGAATATCATGGACATTCCTAATACGAATAACGGGGCATTTGGGAACAGTCAATTGTTACAACTATTCGTTTCTTTTATTTTTGGGCAGTGTCTTCAAGAACAGAATAAATAAAAATGAATTTTTAAACATTTTTCCTCTCGCTCTTCAGCCATCTTCCGATTCAACTCGTCGCGTGTACGAGAACCAATTCAACTGACATTTTCAACACATTCCCTTTTTTAAACTATTATTGCGAGAACTGTCAGCCCTTTATCTAAATCTTACGTAAAGCATCTTAACTTTCCCTGAGTGATATAATACAAAACAAGATGCCTTTTTTACACCATCATCATCATTGTTACACAACACAGGGAGCATCATAGATTATGGAATTTTGAATTGATCATATTTATGTAGATACTGAATGGACTGATATTCCTTTTACAGATTCAACTTTCACAATATTGTAGTTTACAAGGGATCACCCCCACAGTCTTTAATTAATAAATTTCTTACTCTTATTTTAATATTTATTCTCTTGGTATTGATTTCAGATCCATTTCTACTGCCTGGAATATTTATTTTATTTGGGAAAGGATAATTCCAGAAGATTGTGCGGCAGTTGTAGTGAAGAATGTTTAATTGAACAGGCTTTGAAAAATGGAAACTACTTTCTCTACTTGCCTTTAAAACAGCAATTGGTTGAATTACTCAACGATGCAAGATTATGAACATTTAACAGGACGTGATGTGCAGTTTTTGTAGCAGATAAACAGTGCAGATGAAATTCTCTGCTCAAAACTTGACAAAAATTTGATAAAACAACATAATTTGTGTGGTAATGATATAACAATAACATTCATTACTGACAGTGGCAGAGTTCCTCTATTTAAGTCATCTGGATTTCATATTTGGCCAATACAGTGTATTATAAATGAGCTTTCAACTCATTCTTGCAGGGCCTGAATAAGATTTATTTGACGTAGCCTGGTAGTAATGACTTTGTGTCGCCTGAAATTTGCCTTATTTTGTTACAAATACAGATAGTCTCCTCCTTAAAAACAATACAAGAAATGTTATTATTTACTCCCTATAAATTATGCCTACTATTACAATAATTATCCTGAAAATTTTTGTCATATACACCGCTTTAAAGCCTTTGACATCATCATTAATAACATGTTGCTGGGGTATATATGAGCATTTAGAAATGAACAAATAAAATGAAAACTATTTATCGCACAGCTCTGATTTTTTTTAATGTTAATAAATTAAGTTATACAAAATAAAAGCATAAACGTTTTAAATTTTTTTTATATTACATTACGTGACTGAAACTTACACAATTTCTTAAATTAAAATTTTATTTTTCAGGTTTCTGATTATTGGAACAGTTTTGAAAATGGAAATGTAGTTAATTCTGAACCGCTCTTTAAATGAACTTTCAATTTGTTATATTGGATACCAGAACAGCACATAGAGATGCAGCGCAGAAGAAGATACAAAGAATATCTACGAGATTAATCTGTACTTGTACCAAGACAAACTCTTTTTAACTGAAAGATTTACATGTACTTAAAATGAGAATATCCCAGAATTCATGTTTCTAACTGAAAATTAAAACATACCCTGAAAGAATAACCCGTTACAGGTTTAAAGAAAATCTTTCACAAGACTAACCCCAAATTCCATTGCATATATTCAGATCCCAAGTTATTTTGGCATAGAATATACCCGAAAGATCAAAGAGATTTACCGTTGTTTCTTTCAGTTAAAAAGAGTTTGTCTTGGTACAAGTACAGATAATGTCGTCAATATTTTTGGTATCTTCTTCTGCGCTGCATCTCTATGTGCTGTTCTGGTATCCAACATAACAAATTAAAAGTTAATTTAAAGAGCGGTTCAGAATTAACTACATTTCCATTCTCAATCTGTTACAATAATCAGAAACCTGAAAAATAAAATTTTAATTTAAAGTAGCTAAGAATCTAACTCAATATCATCTAAAGTCTTCGACATTGAAAACACGAATTATCTGTCAATTTAAATCAACATTTATGTTGTGATCTTACCAGAAAAAGATGGGCTTTTGATATCCAATATTTTAGACAAAATAAACATTTTACCATTGGTATGCGAATCGTATACCATAATTCATTTCAGTCCCATATTCCACAAGTCATGTCAAACGGTGATGCCATTCTTATCTAGAGAGCATGCACAATACATACTATATCGACTGGAATAACCAGACGCTAGAGATTGCCATTCGATTGAGATTTCTGGCATATTTCGCTGAACATAACTGATTTAAAATTAGAGTAAAACGGAAACAATTAAATGTAAATCAGTTTATATACATTCATATTACACTATTATATGCGTTGCGACCCATTTGTGGCGATTTCTAGGTCCCAAATGTTAGCGATTTAGCTCCAAATACGAAATTGTGTAAGTTTCAGTAACATATATATGACAATAATCTGAAGAAAGCCTTGAATGCTTTTTAAAGGTGACAATCCAAAACCTTGTAAGTCAGCGTTTTGTACATCATTATTTCTCAATGCTGATCTCTTTGCCCGCCCAGACAAAGAAACATACTTGAGTATCTTTTATTGTGATTTCAAAAAAAATAATATATTTCACCATTAGCCACAACTTTGTTTAATAGGAAGATGAAAGATAATCCTTTGTGTCCATTATGTAAGTTAAGCGATGATGATAATATTCATTTTTTATGTGTATGTATAAAATTAAGTCATATTAAATGTAAATATATACCTGCAAAATTTGTTAATAATGTGTACAATAGTGTTCCATGAGTTATGTACAACTAAAAATAAATCTCTTTTCATTTTCAATTTCACATTTTATCAATATCGCTTTAAGTTATAGATCAAACTATATTTTGTAACTATGGGTGCTAGACCTTCTTACTGGAATAAACTATTAATTTATTTATTTATTTATACTGAGCGCCATGGAAAACGCATCACTTTTTTCCCAAAATATTTTATTACTAGGTGGTTTTGTATGTATAATATTATGCAATACTATGAACTATTGTTTCACACAATGCTCCCAAATGCAAAAAATATCGGCCCGTGTGCACAAAAAAAAATTGCACGAGATGCACATGAAAAACCCAATATTCACATA